AGGTATTGAGGAGGGCACCTTTTGGGATGAGCACTGGGTGTTGTATGGAAACTAATTTGACAATACATTTCATATGTTGAAAAAACAACTATAAAAAAATAAAAATAAAAATAAACCCCAAAGCGAAAAACACCTGCGGGATGCACAGCCAATGATCTAAGCAAGGCTGAATGAGATCAGCTGATCCTGAGTCCTCACATTCTCTTACCGCTCGCAGACCAGCATCAGCGCCAACTATAGGCTCTGATACAGGGGCCTGAGTAAACCTTTAACGCATTTAAAGCGACATTTCCCGTCTTCATAAGGGAAACCTCCACAAACACTCGTCCTTCTAAGGGATAATTCTGAGGGCAGCGCCCCTTCCCGGTCATCCCTGGGGTGTTTCCTGAAGTGGGACTGGAGGCCAGGAAGGAGGACCACTGTCTAGTCGGGTTGGCCGGGAGACGCCCAGAGGGCTCAGGGGAGCACTATGAACCTGGCGGAGGCAGAAGGAACCAAGCACTCAGGGAAAGCCGTCCCGTCAACGGTCGCGGGGGAGGGCGGGGCGGGAAGGCGATGTGCCTCGCTATTGGCTGCGATGCCTGCCCGTCACCGAGAAGGGCTTCGGTTTGGCTCTCTAACCACGACCCGCCCACTAGTGCGGGCACCACAGGTGTCCAGGTTACAAACCCGCGGGACTGGTCTTGAGGAGCGCAGTTGGGTGCAGCTCAGGAGTTTCGGGGCCGCTCTCCAGGCCCTGAGCCCCGCAGAATTCTGACTCGTCGTCGTCTGTCGCGGCACAGGGTCCGTTGGGGGTGCGTCGGGAGACGCTAGACGCGAACGTTCTGCCGTTCCGAGGCGACGGGCCCGATCTGAGGGGGCCGCAGGCTCGGGCGGGTTCATTCTCCGCAGCCGACGAGTGCTGGGCCGTGGGCTGTCGGGCCGGGCCCCCGCGTGCTGCAGGGAGCCAAGGGCCCAGTCAGTCTTGGGGGAGGGAGGAGCTGGGATATCTGTCGTGGTCTGCAACTCTCCTGCCGGGCCGGGCAGAGCACGCACGCATCTTGCGGACCGGGTGGGAGGGGAGGGATGGGGGTCGTGGGTGCTGTAGGTCTACAGCGGGCGCAAGCCTTAATGATAGCTTCCCCCTCAGATGACAGTCCTTGTGTGTGTATGTGTTGCGGGGAGTGCTTTGGGCGTCCTAGAGCTTGAGGTCACGCAGAGATGGTCTGAAAACCCCTCCCTTCTATAAGCAGCCTTGCTTGTGTGGGCTTCGGTAGCCAGGAACTTGCAACTCTCCGGGTTGGCGGCCCTCGGTCAGGAAAGTGCTGCAGTGCGACCCCTAGAGACCCGGCTGGTAATTGCCACCCCGGCTCCGACGGGCTGTGTTGTAGGAGGACGTGGGAAGCCTGGAATTACAGGGGGACGCGGGTCAGTCCAGAGAGAACCTCCCCTGCTTAGAAGAGGCTGGGTCTGAAGACATCATCAGAAACTATGGTGAAGGCCTCTGTGTGGGTGGCTACTAATTCAGAATCCGTTCCACACCTGTTCGTAGTGGCCAAGGCTTGTTAATTAAGAGAAAATAGGACTGAAGCCTCATTAACGAATAAGTGAATCTTCTAGTTTTTCTAGGGGCTCCGTTATTTGTGACCACAATGACAAATTTAGACAGTGATGATATGCTAACTGACAAGCTTCATAAGCCCAAGAGCTCGAAAGAATGGTTGGAACCACAGCCACTTCATCTTATGGAGGTAACGGTAGTATGGCATTTTGAAGTTTATATTTGGGCAGTTGCATTGAGATCTGGCTTGTGCTTAACAGTTTTTCTATGTTTTGTGTTTCATTTCTGTCCTTTATTATTCCATTTATTCTACTTTGTATTTTCATTTTCTAGTTTCTTAAGGCGGAATCATCGGTAATTGATTATAGGCCTTTACTGTATAACAAAGTTAATAAGTTTCTCCTGAAGCGCTCTTAAAAAAAATAAAAAGTTTATCCATTTTTGAGGGAGAGAGAGCTCACGTGAGCGGGGGAGGGGCAGACACAGAAGGGGAGAGAGACTCTCAAGCAGGCTGAGTCCTGCCAGCACTGAGCTGGGCTTGGGGTGCCATCTCATGAACTGTGAGATCATGACCTGAACGGAAATTGAGAGTTCGGTGCTCAACTGACCGAACCACCCAGGCGCCACTCTCCTGAAGTACTCTTGCAAGCTGCATCACCTAAATTTATATATGTTTGTATTTTGGAAAACATATATATATGTTGTATTATATATGTTTGTATATTTGTAATTTCTTTTTTTCTAAACAGCTTTATTAAGGTATAATTGGTACACAATAAACTGCGTATATTTGAAGTGTACAGTTTGAACATTTTTGACACATGTAGCCACACGTGAAACCACCACAATTAAGAGAATGAACGTATTCGTTATGCCCCAAATTTCCTCCTCCTGTACCTACCCTCCTTCCTTTGCCTATCCCCAACCAAGGCAATCACTGATGTGCTGTCACTTGGGTTAATTTTGCCCTTAAAAAATTTTATGCAGATGTAATCTTACAGTATGCTTTTTTGTCTGGCTGCTTTTACTCAGCATAATTATTTTGCGATTCATCTGTGTTGTGGCATGTATCAGTATTTTATTTACTTATTTGCTAAATGCTGTATAGTTTATCCATCCTGCTGATGGATATTTGGGTTGTTTGCATTTTTTGGCTGTCACAAATAAAGCTGTTAGGAACAATCATGCACATGTCTTTTTATGGACATACACTTTCATTTCTCTTGGGTACATATCTAGTTGTAGAAGGACTGGGTCATATGGTAAATGAATTTAACTTTTTATGAAAGTGCCAAACTGTTTTCCAAAGGAGTCTGCCTTGTACATACACAGTTCAAGGATCTGCCAGAGATTTGGTCAATTAATTTGTAAAACTTATGGCATCCGCTCTATGACTTTCTCCTTTCAGGTATTTCTCCTTTGACTTTCCAGCTACTCTGGTTTCCCTGAACTCTGTCTTCTAATTCTTGAATTTTGTAAAACTTCATGTTTCAGAGTTTGAGCCCTCTCCTTTAGCTCTGATGGAGGCCTCCTCTTAGACAAAAGTCCATAAAAACTGAAAATTTATCCACTGCCGTTAGTCTCTTTTTCTAATTATTGACTACATTCTTGTTTCTCCCTGTTTTGGGTCAGTCTCCAGTGTCTTCAGATTGTTGTTTTTTCTATTTTTGTCTAGAATATTAATTCAGTACCCATCTTGGTTTTGAGAACAACAGATTTGCCAGGAATAGCAATCCTGTGAGGCAGAAAGAACAAAGAAAGTAAATCTGGAGTTAGATACATTTGAGATTAAATTCTTGTCTGCAGGCAGGATTTTCTAGGCTTCTAGTTGTTGCTTAACTCCCATGACTCTTAATTTACTTGGGTGTTAACCATCCTTGAGAAGTTAGGTTCTTGGATTTTCAGATTTTACTCATCTGTTTTGACAACAAGAGTAGTGGAACTGAAAACAGCTATTTCCAATGATAGTTAATTTGAGAATATTTTTTGTGTAGTTATGAATGGATTTTAAAGGCCCACCCAAAATGTCTGTCACTTTGGGCAATTAAAAAAAAATAATCATGTTTCCATTGTGGTAAAATAAATATAGTATCAAAGTTCGCTATTTTTAACCATTTTTAAGTGTACAATTCAATGACATTAATTACAACCTCTTGTATTTCTGGCAGATATTAATTGTGGAAGATTTGTTATAAAAATGGAAAAAATTAATGTTATGGACTGTTTCCTGAAGATTGTGTTGCTTTAAAATCTAAAAATGACTTGTATATAAACAAATTTATTGGGGCGCCTGGGTGGCGCAGTCGGTTAAGCGTCCGACTTCAGCCAGGTCACGATCTCGCGGTCCATGAGTTCGAGCCCCGTGTCAGGCTCTGGGCTGATGGCTCAGAGCCTGGAGCCTGTTTCCGATTCTGTGTCTCCCTCTCTCTCTGCCCCTCCCCCGTTCATGCTCTGTCTCTCTCTGTCCCAAAAATAAATAAATGTTGAAAAAAAAAATTAAAAAAAAAAAACAAATTTATTATTAGTATTTGATAGCTATAATGACTAAATGAATTAAAGTAGAATTCACTAATGATTGAATGAATTCAAATAGAGGCCTGATTGTGTTTTAACCCATAAAGGTGAAAGGCTTTTATGAAATGTGAAAAAAAAGATGAGTTCTGCTTACCATGTGACTCTGGGCAAGTCATTTGTCTGTGCTGGAATTCAAAATGTCTGTGATTTGAGTTATTTTTTGCCCTTGGATGAGCTATAGCAAATAGCAGAAAGATTCAAATGCTCTTTAAAAGTACTGGATGATATGATTTGAGGTAGAAAAATTGTATTTATGGAGAACTTTCCAGGGAGATGTCTGTGAGTCCAGAGAGTATTAATAATTTGATTTTTTTTTAAGATTTGATTTTCAAAATTTCATTCTGTAATTATAGGTATTAGCTAAAGAAGATATTGATGCAGCTATTCAATCAATATTATATAGAGAAAATCATGTAATTAAGGTAAGAATTGGCTACAGAATGTGTCATGATTAAAAATTAATTTTGTTTTTCCCTTTTAGATGGAAAATAGAATTGAAAACACTCATTAGTGCCTAGGATTAACCTTAAGAGAAATCTGAAATTGTTTTAATTGACTTCCTATCTTTTTATTTGTGGGGATTCTTTCACAGGTACTTTTTTTTAAGTTTATTTATTTATTTTGAGAGAGTGTGGGCAGGGGAGGGGCAGAGGGAGGTAGAGAGAGAGGATCCCACACAGGCTCTGTGCTTAGAGCACAAGATGCAAGGCTTGAACTCATGAACTGTGAGATCATGACCTGAGTTGAAACCAAGAGTCTGATTCTTAATCGACTAAGCCACCCAGATGCCCCTCACAGATACTTTTATATAAGAGTTTTCCCCTAGTCACTTGTTCTTTCATCTAATGGGGCTTCTGTGTATTCTTACGAGTTTTAAGAGCTGTTATTGGGACTCACTGACTAATTATTACTCAGGTATGCATAGGTAGAAGAAGGCTTTAACTGTATCAGCATGGGCTTAATTATAAGACAAGATGAATGTCCACGTGTGGTGAGCACTGGAGTGGGTAACAGGAAAAGAGCTATTCGTTAAGAATGATTAAAGTGTGGAGCTCCTGGGTAGTTCAATTGGTTAAGCATCGGACTCTTGATCTCAGCTCAGGTCTTG